AAATTAATAGCACAGCATGCTAAATCCTAATTGAATATAGAATTAAAGAAAATTCACTGGCTGTCTGGAGAGATATATATCCAGAGAACTTAATGAAGGCAAAACTTAATGAGGATATTGTGCATATAAGTGGAACTTGGCATATGACTTTTCACTTTCCTAAGTGGTTAAAAACTCACCTGCTAGCCAAAAGAGTAACAATTCAAACCCATCAGTCACTTGACTGAAGAATTAGGTATCTTATAAAAATGCACTTCCTTGGAAACCCTAGAAGGCCATTCTGTGTTTTCTAAGGTTACCATGAGTCAGAATCCAGTGTGCTTGGGATGTGGGTTAGTATATATTGATGAGACTGCCTAGGAAGCACAAACAGACGCATTCTCAGCTATTAACCTAAATGTTGGCGGTTGCCACTAAGAAGAAAGGCTGGCAACCTGCGAATGATAAATCAGCCACTGAAAACCCTATGGAGCATAGTTTTACTCTGACACGCGTGGGCTGTCAACCTGACAGCATCTGCTTTGTGTGTTTGTTTTGTTTTATTTATATATTTATAACTGGCATACAGAACAAGGGAATGCTGTATGGTTTAAAATCAGGAAAGTGTGCTTTAAGGTTGCAACTTCTCACCATACTTCTTCAATCTGTAGGCTGGACAAATCATCAGAGAAACTAGATTATAGGACGAAGAATGTGGCATCAGGATTGGAAGACGGCTTATTAACAACCTGTGATATGCAGATGACACAACTTTGCTTGCAGAAAGTGAGGAGTACTTGAAGCACTTGCTGATGAAGATCAAGTATTACAGCCTTCAGTGTAGACTATGCTCAATGAATAAAAAACCAAAATTCCTACAAAAGGACCAATAGGTAACATTGAGATAAATGGAGAGAAGGTTGAAGTTGTCAAGGATTCTGTTGTTTGGATCCACAAGCAATGCTCATGGAAGCAGTGGTCAATAGATCAAAAGGCAAGTTTCACTAGCTAACTCTGCTGCATAAGACCTCTTTAGTGTATTAAAAAAACA